AAATACACACTAGCAAATGCAAAACAAAACTGAATCCTAGCCTACGCCGGCAATCTGCTTACAATGCATCTGGGGAGGGGCGATCGGATTCACTCGGGTTCACTGGAGTGTTCAGGTTTCAAATGAAAATGCGGTATATACACAGGGTGTCCCAGAATATGTGGGCAATCTCCAGGATTTAGATAGAACACATACAAATAATACGACAAGTTCCTATTCATTTTTTTCACGGCCCCACCTACAGAGATACTGGCCCCTGGAATGAAGAAAAAATATCTAAAATTTCAAAACACTTTATTTTTAACTGACTCTGACATCATTATTTTAAATGGTAAATGTCAAAAAAAAACATTGCAAAAAAGATAAAAATAAATTCAAGACACCCTATTGTACAAAAACATTTTTTTTTGTAAACAGTACATTTTATCGATGTCAATCAAGAGTAACTTTTTTGTTTAAGGTTTAATCTGATCAAAAATATTATTGTTGTGCCTTTAAAGTACGGGGTTTTAAAAAATAGCATTACTCTGTTAGAGCTAGTCCGTCCCTGACAAACTAAATAAGCCGAATGTGATTAAAAGTCCCCGATTTAAGGAAACTTTCCTAGTAAACAATATATTAAAAAAATATTAAATTCCACCTAGTAGTTCAAAAGTTATTTAAAAACAAACTATTTCCATGGGTGTCCGTTATGGGACCGTATCTCCGTAGAGGGGGCCGTAGGAAAAAAAAATATAGGAAGTTGTCATATTATTTTTATATGTTCTATTTGAATCCGGAAAATTGCCCACATATTCTGGGACACACTGTATATATTCCGCCGTAAAACCATCAAACCAATTGTTTATAAAAATTCTTCCAGTTGGTCTCCTAAATGCAGGTTTACAAATATTGGTACATTTTTTGAGCCCAGACAGGCACGTAACCAGAGAGGTAGCTCAAAGGGCTGAAGCATCACTCAAAATTTCCAAAATTTTAGCAAATTTGTGCTTTTCTATAGGAATCCTTCCATCCAAGTAATGAATGTGAATTTTTGACTTGATTATTTTAAAAGTCATTTAGAATTAATATTATTCTTGGACAACCATAATTACTTTAAAGTTAGGAAATTTAGGTTAATCGAAATGTATTTAAGGAGTTGGCAATACTGGCATGTCCTACCTGCGAAAACCGTCCAAAAAAATAAATTTGTACAGGATAGACATAAAACTTTTGATCCCATTTTTTACTTAAGTTAAAAGTAACGCCCTATGCGAATCAGGCTTGAGTAATTCTTTCGAGAGATTTCCAATTTCGGAAAAATCCCTAACCGCGTTGGTCCTACTTTTTATGATCTTTAAACCAGTCAAATGTCAATACCAATACCAATGATCTAAAAAAAATTATTCCTTACAATTTTCCCAAAACTTTTCCTATAAAAAGTAAATAAGGCTTCACCTTCCTTAGACTTAACCTAGATATAATCTGAATTCTATCTAAAAATAAATTTGTACAGGATAGACATAAAACTTTTGATCCCATTTTTTACTATGCGAATCAGGCTTGAGTAATCCTTTCGACAGATTTCCAATTTTTGAAAAATCCCTAACCGCGTACCAATTGTATCATCTTCAGATGTTGGTCGTACTTTTTATGATCTTTAAACCAGTCAAATTTCCATACCAATACCAATGATCTAAAAAAAATTATTTCTTCCAATTTTCCCAAAACTTTTCCTATAAAAAGTAAATAAAGCTTCACCTTCCTTAGACTTTACCTAGATATTATCTGAATGCTATCCATAGATTTTTTGCAGATATCCTGTAACCTATTTTGGTTTTTCTAATTAGGCTTCACAAAATGCTAGCGGCAGTCTTACCTTTTTGGAGAGCTTTAGGTCGTAGGTTGACGAAGGAAAGAATTGGTTGTGTTTATCATCACTTAATATAAATAAAATAATTTGTCAGGCGCCAGAATATTTAATGGTATAAAACATTCAAATTTATATTTACAATAATCAATACTTGACAAGTCCTCGAAGGGCTAAAACGTAAAATAATTCCAGAATGGATGCACTTTAATGATTAAATTTATACTTAAAAAAATACTTTGATCGAATTTAATATTTAACATTTATACTCAGATAATACTGTACAATTTGGCTTTAGAGTTTAACAACAATGTTTAAAAAGAATGAGAATACTCAACTGACACTGTACGATTCAACTTTACTGTTTGACAAAACTTGTTACAAAAGTGTCTAAAAAGAATAAGAATACTCAGCTTTGTGGCTCTGACATTTTCACTGCTCGTACTGTACTGCAAAACTTGAATCCGGACTCGAGGACACACCTGGAAACTGGACTTCTGGACTTGGACTCCTGACTGGATTCCTGACTGGACTCCTGACTGTATTAAGGCTCGTAATACCCTGTGAAACGCTTATCGAAGCGCTGTAGAACTCTAATGGCTTGGACACAGGCACAACACGTCATCCAGTTCGGAATATTGCCGAATCCCCCGGAAAAACCCTAGGTTTAAATCAAAAGTAAATACATAACCGCATTCCCACAAATAAATTTCACTTACGGATATTTGTCCGGTTTTAACTTAAACTCAAAAAATATTATTACTCAGACTTGATTAGAATCTTACTGGGACTAAATTCAAATAAAAAGTGACGATCAGACCAAGGATGGTTAAAAAACTCAAAGATAATCTTACCACACAATGGCGTATTGAGAACGATCACTTTGGCAGCAGACAGGTGGTTTATTTAACTCACGTAGTAAAACTTAGTTAACTAGACTATTCAGCCTGTATGTATCACAATACTTTATTAATTGATAACTTTACAAGTTCCAAGACACTATGCGGGTTTCAGAGAATTCAACACCTAATCGGACTTTGTCCGTGCTTGACCACTGTCTGTCTGCCACTGCTGAACAACGTAATTTCAAACGCGTCTACCGTTAAAATGCATTATTGCCAATTATGTGAAACAAAAATCCCTAATATTTAATTTACTTAAAATAACTGCAATATTATTTGTCTGATCGCCAGCTCCTACTTAACTGTAGCATAAAACCTATAATTCAATAACATTTACATACTATATTGTTTTAACAAAATTAAACGTAATACGGTTATGTACTTTTGAGATTTAAACCCTTCGCCCTCGCGCGTAAAACATTCGCGAAAATTCCAGCAATGAAAACAATGACCTTCTACCACCTTGAGAGGTTTTTTTATGAGTTTGGCATTGAAAACACATACTCCGCAATTTAGTTTTAATAGATCGAAATACGATTTATAAAAACGTTACAATTCTTACATTTATACTGCTTCTAACAGAACCGGACAAGTTCCCTATCCGATGATAAATTGCGAAAAAGAGTTTTCAATGCAAAATGGAGAACAGACGGAGGTTTCGATTGTTTTGCATACTTAAGGAGTCTGATAGTGTTTTATGTAGGCCCTGCTGGTTGTTTTTTAAGAAGGTGTAGGTGAGAAGGTAATCAGAATTCAGACAAATTAGTGCTATTGTTTTCATGATTGAAGGGGACGAAATTTTCAGATATATGGTAAAGGAGCGTCAAAAAGATTCTTTTGTTAAAGCCAATTCATTACTTTAAGCTGCTTTTGAAAAACAACAAGAAATCCATTTGGATATAGATTCGATCAGACAGATTACACAGGTCTACAAAAAAAGAAGTGGTCGGCACCATGAATATTTCTATCTATTTTCGACCGCTAAAACTGAGTCTAAAGTCAGTGTTTCCAATAGGAACAACTTTTTTATTATACGTTTTACAAAAAAAAACTGGACAAATTTAATATCAACGATTGAATCTTTTACCAAGGTTTTAAAATTGTGCAATTTACAATTTTGGCCACTCTTCCGGTTACAACCGCAAGCGAGAAAAAATCGTTTTCTACCATAAAGATAATGAAAACCCTACCACGAAGTGTAATGGGTTCCGACATACTGTGTGCGCTTGCAATGATTTTAGTTCATCGGAATATTGCTGATGCGAAGGAAGGAAGGAAAATCGAGACGGTTACTTCGTTCCTTAGCGCTCACTTTAGTATAAGATTCATATTACAATAACGTTTATTACTTCATAGACATGAGAAACCTTAAGGGATTGTCCGTTTCCCACCGTTTATAATTTTATATCAAGATTTGTAGAGTATCGATCCAAACTACAAAGGTTTTTGGGATAAGGGTATGCTTACCGATTATTGTTGGTCTCCTATATGCAAAACAGACCCAAAAAATTATACACGATGCAGTACTTTTGCACTTTGTTTGGGAATTATATAAAAAAATATCATAATCTTTATTAAAAAAAAACTAACCTAAAAACAGACCACTCGTTCTTGAATAGCGACTTGTAAACCATTGTATTTAGCTAAACCCTGAACCCTTGGATTTTGGGAGTAAGATGGTAACCTTGTCATGGCAAGATGTGCTGAAGCATGTTTCCTTACTAGATGGTTTACTAATTATAAATAATTAATTCGTTTTGCTCTGACGGCATAAACTTAAATCATATAGTTGTTTTATGGGTTTATTTATTTGGATGTTTAAGGCTAACCTTGTTAAAAGAAAAACATATTTCCACTGCCAGTTTTATCGATCTCTGCCATTAAAGTTTATTAACCTTTTCATTTCCTTTATTTTCATTGTGTCTATTAGGGTACTCATACGAGGCATTTATTAATGTCAGCTTTAAAGCAGGAATGCATTCCGGTCTTCGAATTAATGTATTGTTGCTTAACGTCAGCAGCCCTGCAATCTAAAGAGATTTTAATTGTTTTTCGAATTACATAAAGCTCTGGTATTTTATTCTCAACAGTTTGCCTATTTGCTGTACGATACCAGGTTATATACTGAGACTTATCGATTAGTCCTGGATCCAGAACCAATTAAAAGCACACAATAACAAAACCGTTCCACTATTTTAAAAGATATTATCCAAAAGATTTTAATGTATTATTTCTTTATTATTTTGTAGATTTCCTAACCCAGAAGAAGGAAAAAGCGCTTTAGATTTATCAATTAAAACTGCAAATGAAAATAAAAGTACAATAATTTTGGCTAATGACCCCGATGCAGATAGGTTTGCAGCGGCTGAAAAAAATACTATGTTAGTATGAAATCTAGCATAAAAAAATATTATAATAATAAATACTTATAATGTGGTTTTAGCACTGGTGAATGGAAAGTGTTTACTGGAAATGAATTGGGTGCGTTATTTGGATGGTGGATTTTGCACTGTTTTAAAATTAAGAACCCAAATGTACAAATTGATGAAACATACATGATATCAAGTACTGTTAGCTCAATGATTTTAAAAACTATGAGCAAAAAGGAAGGTTTTAAGTTTGAGGAGACATTAACTGGGTTTAAGTGGATGGGTATATACCTATTAAAATATTATTAAAATTAATAAATAAATTTTATTTTATTTAGGTAATAAATCTATTGAATTAATCAACCAAGGCAAAAAGGTTCTTTATGCATTTGAAGAATCGATTGGCTATATGTGTGGGACAGCAGTTTTGGATAAAGATGGCGTTTCTGCTGCCAGTGTTTTTGCAACAATGGCCTCTTTTCTGTATAATATTAATGAAACTGTGACTGAAAAGTTGGAAAATATCTACAATACATACGGTCAACATTTGTCGTTACAATCCTACTATATTTGTCATGATCCAGTTGTGATTGGTAATATTTTTAAGAGAATAAGAAATTACTCTAATACAAATAAGGTATTAAATATACTATAATATTTAAAACTTTAAACTACAATTAATTGGATTTAAAAAAGATTATACATATTTGTGTGTTTTATCTCAAATAGGACCTATGTAAAATGTATTATAGCAAAAATATATTTGGAAATAAACCAAAACATGTTTTTTAATAATTATCTTTATTTTTTAGTATCCTTCGGGAGTTTTAAACAACAAATACAAAATTATAGCTGTTCGAGATTTAACTACCGGTTATGATGATAATCAACCCGACAAAAAAGCAGTACTGCCTGTGGATTCAAAAAATCACATGATTACTTTTAATTTTGAAAATGGATTGGTTTGTACTCTAAGAACAAGTGGAACCGAGCCGAAGATAAAATATTATACTGAATTATGTGCCAGTCCAGAAATAATGTAAGTACTACAAAGTTGAACTACATAATTAGAGATCTTTTAAGCAAAACCAAATAAATCGATTATAAACAGTTTATGCAAACATATTAGGTTTTTAACTAAAAGGTTTTGTCGTGGACGACAGTGTCGATGGTTAAGGTCCCTTCCGGAATTTTCTCGCCGGGCCAGGCCGTACGCCCGATTTGGAACAGTGGAGTGCGGGACAAGGAGTTGTTGGTTTTTGGGGAGATTAAAGTTTCCCAAAATTAAGTACAATCCGGACTCCCCCTCAACCAGGGGGTTTAGTAATAACACCATTCAATTGGGCTTCATGAATGATGCTTGGTTGGTTAGTTCGCTGCTTGGGCCTATCCTTTCTGGTCTTCTAGTACTTCCTGTTCATCTGTATCCGAGTCGGAAGTTGGTCACGGTGCTCGGGAATCAACTTTAAATGAAAAGTTAAGTTTCATAATTTTGTTTTGTTTTGATATGTTTATTGCAATATTAGAAGTCATTTTTTACCGTTTTTAGGATAGCTTAACATGACCGTTTATATGAAAATATTAAATATATAAAAATAAATCCGAATCGTTAAAATATTAATTAATATCGTAATAAAAAGTTGTAAAAACAATATGAAAGTGTGTCCATGAGTTTTTTTACTGCCAAAAAACTAAAATACGTTTAAAAATCGAGCACACTGCTAAAGTAGACATAAGTCAAAATATTTGTTTAGATTGTTGGTTATAATATTATTGCGTTACTTTAAGTTGTATTAGAATACTGTGTATACACTGTATATACTTTACAGTTTATAAACACACTAGTGTGTTTGTGTAAAATGAGTTTGTCAAAGGCGAAAGCGGGATCTCATGAAGAAAATCGCATGTGTTTTATGTGCCAAGAAAAACTGAAAATTGTTATTAAAATAGAAGGACTGGTAAAAGAACGTTTGGGGAAGATTTTAAAAAATATAGACTTTTTGGATAAAAGACTACCTGCAGTGATATGCAATACTTGTAGAGTAAAACTTATTAAATGGAATAAAAAAAGTTCGCTAAATGGTGATTTTAATTTGTCATTGCCAGACTATACCTTCTTTGAGCCACTTAAGAAAATAACAAGGTCTTGTGGAATAAACAATATTTGTGATTGTTCTTTGTGTCGGCTGGTAAGGTCAAAAGTAAATTATATAGTTACTTATAATACTAATTAAAAAAATTAAAAAGCTCAGAAAAAAGTTTCTGAGACAGTTTAAGTTGTTTAAAAAGATATTTCGCGGTATTAACGATCATTCTTGTAACTCTACTGGATTGTTAGAAAACATAAAAGAAATTGTAGCCGTAAAATGTGATCCGAAACAAAGAGAGCAGGTTGTTTCAGTTTAAATTAAAAGTAATAATGTTCAAGTTGATTCGTTAAGAATTTATATTAATGGAAATAAGAAATTAAAAACAAATAATGTAATGCCCGATTATGATCTTTTGCGCTTACAAGAAAATTATAATTTTAGTGATCGTAAGACAATAGGGATTGCTAAAGCTTTTTGTAGTGGTCTCTGGGAATACCCATCTCTCCCAAAATACATGCCATGTTTTTCCTTGTAACTAAATTTTGTTCTAGAATAGGAATCGGGCTCGGATTTTATAGCGAGCAAGCAATTTAATCTTTGCAACATGAATTTTATGAATTATGGAATAATTACAAAGTATTAAAAATGCACCAAGACTATGGGATAAAATTACTGAGAACTGTTTGTCGCTACAATAGCCGACATATATGAGAAAATATAATATAATATGTGCTTTGTTATTTGTTTTTCCTAAATTATATTTAAAGGCAAGGGTACAATTATGTTTACTAATAATGTAAATAATAATTTAGTAATTAATTTAGGACTATTTTTGCTTAAATTAATGTTGTAAAACCAAGATATGTTAATAAAAATTATTTTTTATGCCTGTACAAATACTTATATTATTAAATTTTATCGTAATACATTAAATCCGTATGTGCGAAATACTTACATATAGTGCACAAAATACTAACTGTATACAGTATATAGTATACATTTATGTAAGTTTAAAATGTGTTTAATATTTTAGTTGTTAAAAAACGTACGTATACACTTTTACGATCTGTTATTAAGGCCGTATTACAGCCGACAATTCTTTCAGCAATTGCAATTAAAATTGCCGTAGGCATGCGCGATAGAGATGAATCTCTTGCCGAACATCGGCCGGATGAGTTTTTATTGCCGTTTAACGGCAATTCTGGGATGAAATTTGGTAACTTTTCTGTTACCAACCCTACTACAAATTCCCTAGAGAGGCGCTGTTTGACTTAAACCGTTTAAGATTATTTGTTTGATGATTGGCATTGTGTTCAAAGTTCTAGTATCCATTTTACTCATTAATTTTTAAATATCTCTACTAAATCGTATATTTTTCTTCGGTTGGTAGCACGGTAATAAACATCAAGTTGTCTTGCCATTACTGTAAAACTGTAAAACAACATGCAATACGGCCTTGAAAACTTGATGGCAAGAAAAATTGCTGCAAGAAAAATTGCCGTCTGTAATACGGCCTTTACAATATAAATTGATAAGCGATCCTAAAAATACCAAAAAATTACTTCTATTGTTGTAATGAATACATAAAACAAAAAAAATATATGAAACTTATCTCTTCATTTAAAGTTACTTCCCGAGCACCGTGTGATACAATGCTTTAGTCATTTTCCGCTTTAGGTTTTTGTAGGTGCTGATGTGTTCCCATCGGTCGCGGTTGATTTCTGAGAAACAGAGCGAGGGTGTCTTGGAAAGTGAAAAAATCCGGGATTTAGTAATACCCACATTCAAATTGGGTTCATGCATTGGGCTAGGTTGGTTAATATGCTGAGGGACCATCGTGTTTCTTGAGTTACTTCTTGCTACTTTGCGTCCGTGGCACTGCTAAAAATATGCTTGACATTCGTGTTAATGTACCCTTCCACTCGGCATATTTTCGTTATATTTCAAATATTTCTGACCTATTTCATTGTTATGTTTTAAATGAAGTATGTCTTAAATATTTCAGACATATTTCGTTGTAATATTTTTGAAACATTTCATACATATTATGTCACTGCAAAATAAACATAGAAATAGTTTTTTTTTTTCAAGCGGTCATGATATACAATGTTATATGCATGTATAGAGATAGTTGAAGTACGTCTTTTTCATTAGCGGCAGACGAAAAACTCAAAAAAGCCTAGGGATAGAAGTAAATCCATAGGTGACTCAATAGACGTCAAATAATAAAATTAATTTAGCATTTCATACAAAGCAATCACGATGTATTAATTATATTAATTATAATCGCACGGAATATTTAGTGATTATTTATTAAATTTTAATTGAACGAAATAAAGAACAACTAGTTTATTAGTATAATATAATGATGATAGACGAGTCGCCAATGTCGGAACTACAAACAAATGTCAGTACGTCAAAATTAATTCAAGCGCAGCATTTTGACAGAGCAGTGTTTATTTTTAGTTTAGGCTTTGTTATCTATGGTTTAGGATATTTATCGGCATTGTAAGTAAGGGTTATAAGTTTTTTTTTTCTTTTTATCAATAATTTGTAATGCTTTTAGCCAAAATTTAATCAATGCTGGCAATTATTGCCCAACTATGGAGAAAGGCAGTAATTGCTAAACAAGAAATTTTTGGAAAATTATCATACATTACAATTTTATGAAACGCTGTAGGTATTTAATTGATTTATTTAACTTATGAGATAGTTTACTTCATTTCTTTGTTGAATTAAGATACAAAATGTCCATAGCTTTATCATAGCACAAGAAAACGTATTTAGAATTTTTTGTAGTTACTGCCTTTCTCCATAGTAAAGCAGAATACATTCTTTAGTGACCAACATTCTGTTCTTGATTATGAGTCATAACCAAGAACTATTTAGATTAGGGGTAAAGGAGCAAGGGGAGGGGTGTTTATAAACAAGTTCTCACACCAGTGACGTTCTGTTTTTAGGGATCATAATTTAAATAAAAATATTAAAAATAAATAAAAACATTAAATTGTAATTTTTTTGTTGTGTTTTTCAATTCAATATAAAAATTATATTTAATATATATGAATATATAGGTATAACAAAATACTAACCTTGTCTGTTTACCAGGTGAACCACTAATTATTTGGCTATTATTTCCCTCAATAAAAAATTTACACTCTAAAGCTGATAAAGATGATGTAGCATCTGCCTCTTTAAATCTAAAATTTAAGTAAATTCATTTGCCAGACACATTTAGAACATATCTACCATTCCCAACTTAAGAACCGCTGCCAGAAATCAAACGAGACTTTACAAGAATTCGAGGATGATATTGCACGCTTGGTCCGGCTACCATATCCAGCTACTCCAACGACCGTTATGGAACGATTAGCGGTTCAAGTCTTTTTGGATGGACCGAGACAACGAAACAAGACAGGCTCTAACACTGGCTCGTCCGAGCCAATTGGTTGATGCATTGGCCCGAGCTTTGGAATTCGAGGCGGCAAAGCAGAGCTGCAGGAGCCAGCCTAGAATTAGGAGAGTCGAGGAAGAGGAGGAGGAACCCGGTATAATTATAGCAATCAGGCGAGTTCTTAAAGATAATCTACAAAAGACGGAAATCCGGTGTTGGAGATGTGGAAAGCTAGGACATATACGAAGTTTAGATAGAAGCCAGATATTGTCGAATAGTCGAAGCAGGAGATACTGCTACTGTTCGTGGAGAAGTGGACATCACGATGGTCATAGGAAACACGAAATTTAAACATCGAGCATTAGTAGCAGATAATGAAGATGAAGTTATTGTGTTATTGTAGGCATGGACATTATGAACTCTATAGGATTTGAACTAAACTTTCAACAAGGAATATTAAGGGTAAATGGAGAGGAAGTCGTGTTGCATCGATCAAAAGAGAAGAATATTCGTGTAATGCTAACGGAAGATGCTTTGATACTGAAACAAAGCGAG